CCTGGGGACAAGCAGTAGCTGCTGCAAGGTGTCCCAATGCTACTTGTCCCCAGGGAACCAAATGTCCACGCTCGCGTGGACGCAGCCTCTGAGTGTTACTGGAAAAGGTCTAGAGGAGAGACGAAGCATCGTGCATGTGAATGGGGGACCAGTGCGTGTGTATGTAGGTCAGCCAGCTTTTCTGTAGGCCTTTTAAGCTCGTGTTTTCCTCATTTCAGAGTAGCGAATGCTGAGTCAGGATACAAAGACGGCGTTTACATCAGTACACACCAGCATTAAGCATCTTACATCATTTTAATTTGTCTCCTGGTTTTCAGTGTTTGGCCACAGGGCAGGGATGAATTGAGCCACGCTGCTGTTTTCTGTTCTCTCAATGTAGGAAAGCAACCTTGGTGAACTTAGTGCGTACTCGATGCAGAGTTCGTCTTTGAACATGTGTGACATACCCAGCAGCTGTCTTTGAGGGAGCCTTTATATTTTTGCTTTAATGCAGTGCGTAGCTGGGAACACAGGGGCGCTGCTTAATTGCAGGTCCGCAAAACCCTACTCCTCAAATTAAAACGCATCTCATAAACCACCGGAGTTGGGAAAGACAAAAAGAGCCATCTTTATAGGTTGTCAGAGGGCTTGTCCAGGCATAGAGGTTGTGAGGATTTCGCTGTTCTGGCATTTTTAAAGTCTACTATCCCTCTCATTTATACACAAGGGAAAGGGAACGCATTTGTGTGATATATTGGACACCTTACATAACCCTGTCCAGTTATTTCAGTAAAGGATCGCACCCTTATTCAAAAAAAGTTATAGAGACACTGCAGATAGATCAGACCATAGGAATGATTCATAGGGTGGCACACACTGAATAAAGAGCAAACATTTGGAGAGGTTCAAGGGATATCTCTGGGGGAGAAATTACCACTGAATGTAGTGGATAAGTTCCTACTAGATTGTGAAGTAGCCGTCTAAAGACCATGAGCATCCTCATTGCTAAGGGTGCTTAAAGTAGAAGAGAAATTGTGCTTTGGGGCTAGTCCTGGGACATGGTTGTAGAGGATCTTCAGTGTCTCCAGTCGTATGTGTCTTCAGTATCTGTGATCCCATGAAGAAGGCTCTTACCTGAAACACATCCCCTGCGTACTATATTAGTACATTCAACCCCCAAATCCTTCCATCCCACATTTTAACAGTCCAATTCCCTAGGGGAGGCCAGCAAATTTCCATATAGCTGCTACTGCCTGCAGTCCTGGTCCCAGGCAGTTAAAAGCCGACTCCTGGAGGTGCTTTAAATTTTTCATTTTTGGCAGGGTCCTCTTCACTATCAACTATTAAGAGTCCACTTAGGGTGGGTATCTGAGAACAGGTCCCACCAACCGTGGAGGAAGCATCTGTGGGTGAAACTTGATTTCACCTTCCATTTCTGTGGTCCCGGCGCTCTGGCTGCTTCATCAGCATTGCCTTAAGCCAGCGATTCCCAGCCTTTTTTATACTGTGGACCAGCACCGGAGTGGGATGGGGAGTATGGAGCCTCCTGGGTCTGCCCCGCTGCCCAGCTTTAACCCCGCGAATGACTGCTGGCGGCGGAAGCCGCTTGCCTGGGCAGACAGACGGGGGTCCAAGCGGAGGGCTTGTGCCATGACCCGGCAGCCAACCCTTCACGGCCTGGTCCCGGGCTGCGGCCTGGTCCCAGGCCACGGCCCGGTGGTTGGGAACCTCTGCCTTAAGTGAAAGGAGCCTGTCCTCTCCTGCTGATCCCCAGCTCTGCAAAGTCCTCGCGGTTCTGGGTTGGGACCCGGGGTAGAAGCAGGCCGGGCGCGGATATGAAGCAGCCATGCACGTGGCTTTGCAATGGCGCCGGGTCTTGGAGATGGTATAAACAGATGGGTGGGGGCAGGGGAGAGCCGTGCTAGCACTCGGTGGAGGGCTGGAGGAATCCACATAAAGGAGCCGGCGTCAAACAATAAACATCCCCCTTTCTTCGCAGCCATCGGCACTGCCAGCCCCATTTTTTTCCAGGCTGCCTCTGTGTGTTTGGAGGTGGAAGAGCCCAATTACCTACCTTCTCCCCCCTTCTCCGAAGTTGTATAGTTACAACTCAAGTTAAACTCTAACAAAGCAGCTTAATTCAAAGGCTGCTGATGGGAAGGAAAGCCCATTCCACTCCAGTGTAATTTGAGAATGAAAAGAAAGGGGCTGTGGACCTGTGCTTTAAATCCGGTGCGTCAGTAGAGTCTCTGAAGCAAAATAATGGCATCACCCTGTGTGCGAGTTAATCAGACTTGATGGCATGAAGGCAGAGAGGTCAACAGGCCATGGTCTTGTGATATATTGTCAGGGAGCTTAATGCCGGGCACAGAACAAGGCTGGCTCAAAGCAAAGCTCCTTGCCGGGCTTGTAGCTCTGGGACCCTTGCCCAGAGCAAGAATGTTAGGCTTATTTTATGCAGAAGTGGGGAGAAGCCAATTTAAATTGGATATGAAAAGACCAGTCCCCACTTGCGGTAACAAATAAAGCAATTGTTCCAGTTAATTTTTTGTTTGCTTATTTATTTAAGCCTGGCACTTGCAGGAGCTAAACACAGTTTTGCCAACAAAGTAAATTGTTTTGCACTAACCCGATCCAGAACCA